ATTATAGGTGTGAGCCACTGGTACCTGACTTAAAATGCAGGTTAAACAAATAGATTATATGTTCATGGTAATCATAAGACCTGACTTCTACACTGAGTCCTGAGTTTTTCCCAGAATCTTAGATTCTGATTTTTTTTCTTAGTATCTTTACTTGGTGATCCAAGAAGCAGTTCAAACAATATGGTAAAAAATAAAACAATAGCAGGATGTCCATGGCTTGAGCCCGGTAATCCTAGCTACTCAGAACTCTGAGATATGAGAATCACAGTTTGAAGCCAGCCTGGGTAGAACAGTCCCTGTGAGACTCTTACCTCCAATTAAAACTGGAAGTGACACTGTGGCTCAAAGTAGTAGAATGTTAGCCTTGAGCAAAAGAGCTCAGGGCCAGTGCCTAGGCCTTGAGTTCAAGCCCTATAACTGACAAAAATAAAAATAAAATAAGTAAAACAATGTTTGTCCTAATCTGTTTCTTCCATACCCTTTCTTTTCCTTAGTAAAATATATCATGGTCTACCTAGGTGCTTCAGCCCCAATCTTAGGAGTTTCTTTTCTTATTCCATGATTCCTATATTTTATTCAATGTCTGTCAATAAATTTGGTTTTATTTAATAATTTAAAAATTATCTTTAAATAGTTATACATAGGGGGTTTTAATTCAACATGTCAATTTATATAAATAGTGCATCTTTACAGTGTCAACACTTTTGGTCAATCAGTCTTGACTCTTTTGCCACCAAAATATATCCTGAATGTTAGTTATTTTTCTCTACATCTTCAGGACTACTCCCTGATCCAAATAATTACCATCAGTTGCCTGCACTACAGTATTTCACTGCTTTTTCTACTTCCATCTCTGGCACACACAGCCAGGGATATCTCTCACAAATAGTAATGTGTTACTTCTGGGCTCCAGAAATCTCTAACAGGCTGAACACTTATGGCTCACACTTATAATCTTAGCTACTCAGGAGGATGAGGTCTGAGGATCTCAGTTCACAGCCAGCCCAGGCAGGAAAGTCTGTGAGACTCTTATCTCCAATTAAACACCAGAAAACCAGAAGTGGTGCCATGGCTCAAGTGGTAGAGTACTTGCCTTGAGCTGAAGAGCTCAGAAACAGCACCCAGGCCCAGAGTTCAAGCCCCAAGAGTGACCTCTTATACCATATCCTCTTTCACTCAGTTATACAAGCTTTCTTTCAGCTCTTCAGGCTAGTTCTCCAACCTAGAGCTCTGCATCATTTCTTCTACCTTTGGTGCTGCCTTTGTCATCTCATCTACTCATTCATTTGCTGGTTTATGTACTATCTTCTTGGCTAAGCTCAAACTACATTAAATCACCAGCCACATGACAGTATTACTATCTGATTTTTCATCTTCCATTTTACTTTACCTGATATTTCTTCATTTATTTTATTTTATTTTTTTGTCCTAGTACTTGGTTTTGAACTCAGGGTTACACACTCTCACTTGGCTTTTATGTTCAAGGCTGGTATACTACTTGAGGCATATCTCCACTTTCAGTGTTTTGATTGTTGACTGGAGATAAGAATCTCACAATAAACATAGTTGTGCTGGTAGCTTTAGTGTGGTCTTATTTGTAAACATTTGGGTAAATGCCCAAAAGTGGGATTGCTGGGTCATAGGGGAGCTCTATGTGAAGTCTTTTCAGGAACCTCCATACTGCTTTCCATAGTGGTTGAACAAGTTTACACTCCCACCAACAATGAAGTAAGGTTCCCTTCTGTCCACATCCCCTCCAGCATCTGTTGTTGTTAGAGTTCTTGATTATAGCCATTATATTAAGTGAAGTAAGCCAAGCCTAAAGAAACATTGGTCCCATGGTTTCCCTTATTTGCAATATCTAGTATATGTTTGAGTCAAGCAGAAAAGGTCAGATAATGTGATGTTAGGAAAATGAACCCTTAGATATGTATTTAAATGTTTTTTTTCTTTCATGCATTTGTTTCTAACGCATTTATAAGATTATTTCTTTGTAGCTTTGTATGTCCCTCCCCCACAGTATAACTCCTGCTTTCACTAAATTTGATGTCGGTATAATTTGTGGAGGAGATGGGGAAAACAAGTCGTTTAAGGATACAGGTGGATCCGTGGCAACTATGAGAAGTACAAGTTGTCATGTCGAAAACAAACTTTACAACTTTGGTGTGGGGGAGGGGTAGGGAGGGATTGAGTAGGGGGTGAGGGGAGGCTGGGAAGAGATGTGAAGGGTAAACAAAGGAGGTGGCTGCAATGCTTGATAAGAAATGTACTCATTATCTTGCCCATGTAATTGTAACCCCTCTGTACAGTATGTTCACAAAAAATAAAAATTAAAATTAAAAAAAAGAATCTCATAGACTTTTCTGCATATCCTGGTTTTGAACAACAATAGTCAAATCTAACCTTGTGAACAGCTAGCATAAGCCACTGAAGCCCTGCTAAATTTTAAAATATTAACTTTTAAAACTGCTCTCTCTTGAGCCAGGCACCAGGCAGGAAAGGCTATGAATCTCCAATTAATCACAAAATTAATAATCCAACAATAACAAACTAATGGAAGTAGAGCTGTGGTACAAGTGGTAGAGCACTAGCCTTGAGCAAAAAATCTCAGGGGCAGTGTTCACCTTCTGAGCTCAAGCTCCAGGACCAGCATCCCCTTTTCCCCCGTCCACCCAAAAAAGTTCTCTTTTACTCTTCAAGAGAATATAAGCTCAATTAGAATAGGGACTTGGGGGCTGGGAATATGGCTTAGTGGTAGAGTTCTTGCCTAAGAGGCATGAAGCCCTGGGTTTGATTCCTCACTACCACATAAACAGACAAAGCTGGAATTAGCACTGTGGCTCAAGTGGTAGAGTGCTAGTCTTGAGCAAAAGAACCTCAGGGACAGTGCTCAGCCCTGACTTCAAGCCCCAGGACTGACCAAAAATCCCCCCCCCAAAAAAAAAAACAGGGACTTGATCTGTCTTGTCCACTACTGAATATATAACATGTTGAACAGTGCCTGGCACAGTAGATACTAAAAAACAATTACTGAGTGAAGATTAGAACCACCTTGAGAAGCACTTAAATTAACATCATTATTGTAAATGAATATCATATTTTAGCTCAAATTTTCCAGGAGCCAAATAATAATGTGCCCAGGAGAAATATTAAAATATCATTCTGCCTGGTAAAACACAGCTGAATACACATGTTCATGGTACCTATTAAAGATATGATCCTTTTATTCCTTAGGATGAAAGAATGAATGTTCATTTGTCTTCCACATGGAAATGATAATTATTAATTAGAAAAGATCTGTTTTTTTTTTTTCCTACACCAGTTTTATTAAAACACAAATTAAGTATTTTTCTTTCTGTAATGGCAAATGGTTCAAATAATGCTGAACATGAATCATTGACTGATACAAGGGCTTTAAATATAGGAACAAAAATTAACTTTTCAAAAGTCAAAGAATAAGGTTATATACAAACGGGACTTGGAATCTATATGCTGATTCCAAAACTGCAATGCATCTGTGAACTCTGCGGAGAAACAAGAGCGTTCCACCCCTGCTGTGGAGAAGGGCCGTCACACAGCATTCGGTCGACTGAAGACGGACTGGCAGAGATGTGTCTATACATATATTTCAAGTCATTTTTGCTTGTGCAGAATCATCCAGATCTTCCCAAGACTGAATGAGCAGTCCTGTGGCTTTCTTCCTTTTCCATAATCCCAACAAGGCTACAATGAAGTTCAACTCTCGATGAGCCGCTTACAACAGCAGTTCCTTAGGAGCCAACACGACCGGTGGTTCAGATTTCCCCATGAGAAATAAACTGTCCACCTAAAGCAAAGTATCAAAATGGACAGGTCCTTCTTTCCTCCTCCAGGTTATGTACAACACGTCTCCTTTCAAGACCACTACCCCATCTTACTTGTTCCTTCACAAGTCTAAACCTTGAGGTGATATGGAGACCAGTATCAACAAAAGAGAATTCAATTGCCAAATTAAGGAAACTGGAAGGTATACAATACACCCCCCAGAGCTCAATATCCCTGCTACAGTACAGTTCAGTGTACTGGCTATAGGCCAGAAATATTGGCAGCTTGAGCTTATTGTTTTTCTCCTCCAGTATTAAAGGGCACCAAAGAAATACTGGGCAAGAGGAGTTTTCTGGGAGACTTTAAAATAAAATAAAAACATGTACTACTTTTTGTCCCTGTAATGATTCAATGCCAGAAGGAGGCAAGTACTGAAGGGACAATTCTCATACTAAAAAAAGAGATGCTCTAACTCATCTCACCATCTCTTATCAAGAATCTGGGGAATCTCAGAAGTAGAAAATTAGATTCAGGGACCCTGGAGGCACTTTAAAGCCTTTAAAAAAATTACAGTAATAAGTTAGCTATTGCTCTTCAGAGGCTCTCAGAGCAGCTGACGCATTCAAACCAGGTCTTATGCCCATATTGCAGGTTCTTGAGCTGCTCAGCCCTCTTTAAAGCTTAGATGAATCTCCAAATACCTTTAAAAAGACATACAATTTAACACAGACTCGGTGTTTTTTCTTTTCCTTTTTTTTTTTTAAGTGGTAGCATGGAATTTGGTCCACAATGGTAGCAGCCATCTTCATTCATTCATTTCAAACTCAGATAACATTAAATATGTTAAGACAATACAAAAAAGGAAAAATACAACAAAGGGAACAGGCAGAGCTAAGGAACACCTCAAGGAGTCACCAAGTTCTCACACCCTTTTCATCTGGCTCGCCTTCAGGCTGTCGCTGTGGAGAAGGGCACTGCAGAACTTCTTCTCAAAGATGCTCAACAAAATGCTTATCAAGGGACTTGGAAAATCTGACCCATGGAATTCAGAACACATATAGACAGTTCAGAGGTATACTTCTGATTAGGGAAAAATTTGAGACTAAAGAAATCATCTCAGGTAAATGATGTAATAGATAAAACCAAGTCCAGTTTTTGGTGACTTTTTTTTTTTTTAAGTGTTCTCACTACCACCTTCAGCTGTCAATCATTTCTGAAAGCTCCAGCAGAAGGTCATCTTCGTCCTTCCCAGGATCCAGGTCAATCTCAGCTTCTAATTTGCCACCTGAAATCTCCCATATTAGTTTCTCAAAATCATCCTCCACAGACAGTGGGGGCTTTCCTGTTGAGGCAGAGCTGAGTCGGCAAGTTTTCGTGGCTACCTGGGATGAAGAAGGGCCAGATACTTCTGGGGGTGAGGGTTCTGAAGAAGACTGGGTTGGAGGCAGCACAAAACTGTCTTTAGGTTTTTCTGGCTCCGTCTTGGGGGCTACTGTATCCTCAGAGAGGAGCGGGACAACAGCCATGGTTGCTTTCTTGGCTGGACTTTCCTGCAGGACGCTGCTGAGTGGCTTCACAGCTGCAATGACGGCAGGGTGCACCTCTGCAGCCTTGCGTTTTGGCGCCAGCTTGGGAGGTGAAGTAACTTTGACTACAGATGGCTTCACATTTACTTTGGGTTTAGCTTTACCCCTTTTCTCCAATGTCTGTGCTGCACATTTCACATTCAATATGGAGTCCCCAATCCCGGAGGTTTCTACCTCCCCTTTCTGGGATGGCTTTGTGGGAAGCCGCTTGGTCAAGTGCCGGGCAATGCCTAACGCAGCTGTGAGCACTGGTTTCTCCATGTGGGTATTGCAAGAGGCAACATCTCCCCGGAGGGGCGTGAGGACAGATTTCTCCTTGTGTGAGGCCCCCCTCTCCTGCGGCTTCTGCACGAGCTTCTCTCTCAGGGTTTCACATTTCTTGGCTGGAACTTTAGTGATATCAACTCCAGTGGACTCATCTAGAGCCTCATTAGCCTCTGCCACAGTAACACTCATCTGAGAAGCAACTTCACTTCCTTCCTGAAGTCTCTTCTCTTCTTTTGTACCTGTTCTTTTGGTGATTCGCAGAAGCCGTCTGGCTGTGGGGGTGGCCTCCGGTGGAGGCGGGGAGCTGGCACTGCTCTCTGAGCTCTGTTGTGCCCTCAGTGCCTTCTCCAGCTTAATCTCCTCCAGTGTCTTAATGTGCACTTCCTGCATGGACCGTGCTCTTCCTGCAGGCTCTTCTGGTTGCCCTGTGCTGACAACCACCTGTGGTAAAACCACTGGCTTTTTTATATCAGTGTTACTCTTTAGCTTAATGCAAGTTGCGTCCTTTTTGCAATTTTGTCTCTCGGTTTCCTGCTGCCGATGCTTTTTATCAGCTAGGACCTCAGAGAAAGTTTTAATTCGGACAGCAGAAGAACTTCTTGTTCCTGAAGTAGAATCTTCAGCTTTTGAAGGTCCCTCTGTCTTGAGTTTAGTTTGTAGTTCTCCACGTTTTTGACTGGCTCTTTCAAGAAGAATTTCTTCTAATGTTTTGACATGGATCTCACCAACTTTATTAACTCTCTCTGTTGTCTCCTCACTGTTTGGACCAGCTGACATACCTAAACGCTCCTTCAAAGACTTGGAAACTTGAACTTTCTTTTGTGTTTTGTCAGGGTTAGTGTCTGGCACCTCCACTTTCTTCCCGAGCCTCTGTGCTAGGCTCCGCTTTAATGGGGGATCATTGTCCCCACCCACTGAAAATTTTCGTTTTCCCAGTCTCTCTGTAAGACTCAATCTAACCAAGGGTTCTTCTCCTTGTTTGCTTGACATAGTTACTGTCCTCACCACAGTCCGGACATTCTCTTTTTCAGGACCTGGAATGGGCTGAGGCTGGAGTAAAAGACTGGAAACTCCTGAAGAACCTTCACCTTGCTTCTTGGATTTTTCCTTCATTTTCTTTGATTTAATTTCCTCAAGAGTTTTTATTCCAAAATTCAAACATTCACCTTGCTTTAAATTTGCTCCAGGTTTCCGGGCAGAAGCCAGTCGTAATCCATTATGGACTTCAGGAGTTGGCTGCATGGGGGGTGTTTTGGTATCATCGCCCTCCTCAGAAAACTGATCATCATCATCTTCATCATCATCTGCAGCATTGATTACCACTGGTGGATGTGTAGGGCTTGGCACATTTTCAGAACTTTCTACTTTCATAACGCTCCTCAGCTGAGGAGAGGGGTTAGACTGCACAGACAGTTTGTTCTGCTGAACTGTGAGTTGACTGGCCTTCACTTCCTCTTCTGGTGACTCTGGCACAGTGGGCAACACAGTTTTGCTTGGAGGTAGGAATAGGCCTTCAACGTAGCGTCCTCTGTTGTGATGGAAAGCGCAGTTTAATTTTTGACATCCCATAGGCTGATTTTCCCAGTAACAAGGAATTTCACTGCGTTTTTTATCAATCTCCATGTGGCGAAACCTGCACACCTGTCGAAAACAGCGCCCTTCTTGCCATAATGTGCAAACAGTTTCATTTCCTAATGCAGCTTCACAGTGACGGAAAGGGCAGCTGTCACCTTTGGTACATGTCGAATAGAAAAAAAAATAGCAGTCTTCTCCTTGGTTAGGCATGATGGGAACAATCTTGACCAGAAGTGGCTTTTTGAAATAAGCCACTGCTTCCAAATGGTAAGGACCAGCTCAAAGTCCTCTTGAAATGGGTTTAATCTTCCAAATGACAACTCAATCACAGAATTCGTCTTTAAACATAACCCAGAGAACAGAAACTTTACCGAACCGAGGACACTATCTCCGATTCCCGCCTGCTGCCACGTCTCTCTTCTTTCTCAGCCGCGGCTGCCCGCCGTCCACACGCCAGCCACAGCCAGCAGAAATCCCGGACTGCCAGCGTCAAAGATGGCGCCCGGCTACAGGTTGAGGTCTAAGGCCCCCGCCACGAAAAGTGCCAGCGCGACGCAATGCGCAAGGGATTCTGCAAGATCTGTTTTTTTTCTTTAAAATGACCTCAGCTTATTTTCTTTGCAGATTTGTCCTTTGTACTTACTTGGTAGAATCTTTCTGGCAGATCAGAAGCTCCAACAGGAAAAGTACATGTGGTGGATAAAAGCAGTGAGGCTGTCCTAGGGATTCTGTACAGTACTGAAGTACCCTCAGGGCTTCCAGGATGCTCTTGGCTTGGGCTTTCTTTAAGGAAAGAACTTTTACAACACTGGAGACAACTCAAGTCAGAATATGCAGGAAGCTGAGTTAGGGTAGGAAAAAAAAAAAACACCTATCCTCCACCCAAGATCTGAAGCTTTATGAATAAAAAGCAATTACTGCTGCTGGTGTTAAACACATCATGCAAAGGAGAATATTATACTATCTACTACTTTTACTTAGCAGCATTAAGAATCAATTGCACACAAATTGTGTGAAGGCACAACTCATTTTGAAAAACTAATTCTGAAAAACTTTGATATATTTACTTGTCTATCAAGAGATAAAGCTTTAATTCATAAGATTAGGAAATTCCTCACTAACTTTCAGGGAGGTAGGTAGGCCCATGGACTGTCAGAAAAGATCAAAACCTGAATTTATCCCAGGGCTAACAATGTTTTAAGTGGCAGCTACCAAAGGAAATGCTTCCTTAAGAAAACAAAAACAAAAAACAACATTACTGAGATATATTTTACATGCAGTATAATACACAAATCTTAAATGAAAAACACTTCTTTAAGGGAAAACTCACCACTTTTTTATCTTGAATATTGTAAAACAAATTTGGTTCTATCCTAAATATCACTTGTCCACTGTTAACATGAACTTCAAGCCTTTGCCTCAACTGGATATCTCTGATTTGAAAAGAGAAAGTACTGGGAGAAAACGACTGGCTCACCTCTCATGTGAGAGTGATTGATCTTTAATGAACTCCATGGCATCCTTAACAATGGATATTTCTCTTTTACTGTAGGCAGTGGTCTAGCATCTTCCATGGATCTGAAAGAGAGTAGCTGGAGTCGCCTTCAGGTGAAGGGTGGCCGCCGGTGGGTGTGGAAGGTGAGGAGGGATCCTCAGCAGTGGGCACTTCTGCAGAGGGAGGCCCACTACTTGGTGGCAGCTTTGATGGGACTTCCCAGTCAGGACTGTTGTCTCCAGCAGTTGAGGGGCCTGCTTCTGTGGAAGATGCTGAGGCTTGGAAATGCTCCTCTACCATAGAGCTTGTTCTCTGGTGCCTGTCTAGTGGCTGGAGATGATCGGTTTCATTGACAGTCACCAACTTGTCTAAGGTTTCTTCTGAACTTTTGCCCATGGGCAAAAATTTTAGTAATAGAAGACTTTTCTGAATACATTCTTTTGCTAAGTGCAAAAAAATAAAATGATAGAGAGATAAATAAAAAATTAAACTTAGTAATTACTTTCAGAGAGAAAAATAATCTATTTGTACTTCATCTTCATGAATTCTGCATCTACTGATATAATACAATCAAACTGTAATTATATGAATCAAGATCATGCCAATACTTTTTTAGAGCTTTATTATAGTGAACATTTCAAATATATATGAGGAATTGTAAAATGACTATTCTATATACCCACTGTCTCAATAATGATCAACTCACAACTAATCTTGTTTCCCTCACTCCCAAGTTCTGATGATTTCCATGCAAAGCCCAAGCATTACACTTTTTTACCTGTAAAAGTTTCAGCCTAGCTGTCTACAAAAATACATTTTCAAACATATTTTTAAAAAATTAATAGCAATTCTTTCATAATTCTTTGAGCTGCATACATGAATCTGAAGCCTCTTAAAAGAAGCAATTAGAAAGATGTTCCACTTGGAGCATGTTAGTAAACAATTAGTTCTTTTTGGCATTTTCTCCATTTTTATATATCCTTGAAAACAACCTTAAGCATCTTTCTTTATCACTTTTCCTATGTCAACACAGCCTCAACAAGAATTACCAAGAAGTCAGGCATAATTTCTCTCAGTTCTGGATGAAACAAAAACAAAACACCTGATGGACCAGTAACCATGGCTAGTATTGGCTCACTCGGTTCACCTCTACAGCTTCTGAACTGAGTTTTTCTTCAGCCTCATTCCCAGGGCTCATCAGGAACTTTTGATTCATCTCTAACTGGGGAGTAAGAAGATTTGAAACACATAATTAAGCTGTCCTGATAGAGCAGCAGGGCAGCACAGAAAACTATTGCAAAAACACACAGTGTTGAAATTATAGAAGACTTTGTAACTATTACCCAGCTGCTTAGGACGTGGGCTAAACTTGTTTTCTTCATCCTTTGAAGCTGTCCACAAAACTACTTTTGAAGACCTGTCTACAAAACTCCCTCCTCTACCGCAAGTGGAAGGAATTTATATACATGACTATATTATATCACAAAATTTAAAATACTGGTGCTGAAGGAGATTTTCTCTAAATCCTACCAGTAAAGACAAAGCAGCTGAGGTCTAGAAAAATGGAGGCCTTACTACAGTCATATATCTAGTTTGCTTCAAAACTTGTTCTAATTTTTTTGTCTGTATGTGGAGTTCTGGGGCTTGAAATTAAGGTCTGGATGCTGTCCCTTAGCTTTTTTTTAGGGGGGGGTCCGGTCGTGGGGCCTGAACTCTGGGCCTGGGCGCTGTCCCTCAGCTCTTCAGCTCACAGTGCCACTTCCAGCTGTTTTCTTTTTGCTTATGTGGTGCTGAGGAATTGAACCCAGGGCCTCAGGCATGCAAGGCAAGCACTCTACCACTGAGCCACCTTCCCATCCCTCCCTTAGCTTTTTTATTCAAGGCTAGTGCTCTTCATTTGACCCATAGCTCCACTTCTGGATGTTTGGTGATTAATTGAAGATAAGAGTCTCATCAACTTTTTTTTTTTTTTTTGCCTGCACTGGTTTCAAATCATGATCCTCAGATCTGAGCTTTCTAAGTGCAGGATTACTGACACCAGCTTGTTCTTAAATTTTGAACTCTGTTCTACCCTGATGAGGGGACAACGCTAGGTGATGCTGAGACTTCAGGCAGAGGAGGGTACTATGAGAACAGATTGAGGCAATGATCACAGCATGGGCCACAATGCTGACAGCCAGGCAGAAGGCACAAGAGAGGCCAAGGTCTCAAACAGAAAGCCAGTATCTTGTGTGTTGGCAGTCTATTTTAGGCTCACTAGAGCATTATCTATTGCATGCTTTTCAATAGCCAAAAAGTTTTCACCTAAACTATGTGGCTGAGTTTCTTAGAAACTCTTTTCTTTCAAATCTTACCACTTGGTTTCTCTGTTAGCATACTTTTTTGATTCTTGTTCTACCACGTTTTATGGTGAGTACTCTACCTCTGAATTAACTCATCCAGCTGATTCTCCTCCTACTATCTGATGATGATGCCTTTTAATTTCTCCTAAGAGATTTTGTTTACTTTAGTTTCTAACTATCCAGTATAATTTGGACACTAACTATGGTCTACTCAGACCAAGGCTGTGTTTGTAAACTCATACTTTTAATAAAAATAACTATTAAAAATAATTTAAAGTTACCCTCTGTCTTCACATGTCTCTGACACATCGGTCACTTAGATTATCCACCAACTTCTCTAGCTAGATGTCTCAGATAACAGGTCGAAAGCTTAATTTCTTTCCTAATTCATAAATCAAAGATTGCTTTTCCTATCCTGATCATGGCTTTTCCTTCCTACTAAGTAATCCATCAATGGTTGATCTATCCTAAATTCCTTCTTCTTATTCACTACTCAAATCCTTCACAAAGCCCTATGATTATTTCATCTCAGTTGCAAAAGCTATTCTTTTTTCGTTACTATAATTAAGTCTTTTGCTTTCAATTTCTTTTTTTTCTTTTCTGTCAGTACTGAGCCTCTCAAAAGGTTTTGCTCAAGGCTGGCACTTTACCATTTGAGCCACACCTCTACTGGCTTTTTGCTGATTAAATGGAGACAAAGGTCTCCCCAATATGTCTGTCTAGAACTGGCTTTGAACCCCAATCCTTGGATCTCAGCCTCCTGAATAGCTAGGATTACATACATGAACCACTGGTGCCCACCTGGCTTTTGCTTTCAATTTTGTTATCCATTCTCTACCCATTTGCTTAAATTTTTTTCTCAATTACTATCCAGGGTTAAAGATGCATACAAATATATACCATGTGAGTTCAAGTCCCATACTGGCAAAAAAAGTTATAAATAATATGAAGACTATCACTACTTTCATACCTAAGAATCAAAAACAATTCTCCTGATTTCAGTGTTCAGCATTTCTATGTATTTGTATAATTATATCACACATTTATATATAACATGAAAATTTGGCTCGTATTAAAACATATAAGAATTATCATACTTAAGCATATTTATACTTTTCTTTTTTTCTTTTATCAAATCTATTGAAAGATAACCTTGCAGATACATGTGGCTTTATTTCTTTCACTTTTGTTGTAATGTAATATTACTCATA